GTGCTGCAACCCAGCCACAGGCACAAGTTGGTCCTGCTCAAATGTGTATTTCTACAATGTGAATTATCTCATCTGTGCCTGGCAAATAGAGGAATAATATCAGTCTTTAATGTAGCAGCTGATTTATTCATACATGACTCCCTGTGGCTGATTATAAAACTGCCTGTAAGGCAAATGCACACAACAAGCTGTGGAGAAATGCAGTACTTGTCACCAGGCCCCTCACCCCAGCTCTCTCTCCGGGTTCAGTGTGCCCATGTAATCTGTCTTGAGAACACTTACAGGGCAAGTCTCTGATCTGTGTGCCTTTTCTTTTTGGTGGCAGTTCTTTGAATGAGGATTTATGGAGCCTCTGTGGTTCCATGTAGAGGATTATTCTATACAATACAGTCATATTACTGCTAAGGGGCAAGTGGAAGGAGAAGAGGAAGAAAAACTCCAGCAGTGTGCCCCATGACAGCTTTCCACATGTCATTTATCCCCTACTTTAAGTGTGATTAAGAACTGTTTGTAGTACATAGAAAATAACCCTATAATGCAGGATGCAGCAGGACTGCACTTTGTAACTTACAGCTCTATGTGGAGCCATTTAAGCAGTTTCTTCACTTAAAAAGGACAGCAAAAGAGCAAAAACTGGGCATCTTTTTTTTTTAAAGGACAGTGAAAAAGAAAACAGGATAATGAGCTAGAGTCACCCATCCCTGGCAACAAAACATTGCATGCAAAGCCTGCACCTTTTCCTCGATGTACAACTTCTGACATTATCTGCCTTTGTCTCCACAAGTCAGCAGCCTCAGCCCTTCCACACAGCCCTTTTCATTACACTACCATCATCTGGTTCTGTGTCGTAAAGTATTTCTCTCATGATTAGGAATATAACATGTCCTTTGAACTTTGCCAATATTTTTATTAGGATTGTTATTTATTAATGTTCTGGATAAAGCTGCATGTTCTTAGTGGCTTATCCAATGCGATTTTTCCTGTAAGCAGAGGCATAACATCAGAAATTGCAGGCAGGGCTCTGCACAAAAGGTACAGCTAGACTTTGGCTCAATGTCTTTTTTTTCCCATCCACTGGTTTAAAAAAAAATTTGAGTTTTTGCTATTTTGTCATTATTCTTTTCACAAAGAAACTGCTTAAATGATTCCAGCTAGAACCTTAAGCCCTACAAGTAGAGCTTTGCTGCATTCTGCTTTATAAGGGTTATTTTCTATTCATTACAAGTTCTTCAGAAATACAAAGTTTCTCAGAAGACATACAGAGCTAAGAGTATAATCAGAACAGAATGCAGGGCTGTTTACTTAGAAGCACAAAAAAAGGGGAGACTGCAGAGGCAGAAGACTGTTCCACCAGCACCGTCTTGACAGGTTCCCTGACAGTTACGAATGTGCCCGAGGATATGAAATATATAGAACGAATTAACTTACACAATAGAAAAGCCCAATTTCTTTCCTGTCTAATGTGTTCCGGAGTTAAGATATATACAGTCACTTTGATTACATGGTCACTAAATCAATTTATTATTCATTAACTTCATTATTCAACAGATCGACCTCTTCACAAAGGAGAGTCCTAAATACCTAAACAGATGATTAGTCCTGATTTGTCCTCTTGATAGTACTCACTATAAAGTAATCAACTGACATCCTGTTTGTAAACCTATTTTCTTTGCCTCTGATTAGCAAAAGGTAATTTCCAGGAATCTAGATCAGTGATCATTGAAGATTTCAGACCTTAACGCTTAATTAGAGGTAACAAACTCTAATGGTACCACTATGACTTTCACTTTTTCATAATAATCATAATCCCTTATATTAGTAAGTATTTATGGCTCACTGCTTTCAACATTCATGATCTTATCTGAGTATTCTAACAAGCCTATAAGAAAGGCATTAAAATTAAAAATAACAATTTTTCCATTGTACTAAAAAATAAAGGAAAACAAAAATAAAAACACTCATAATTCAACTAACCAGAAGTAAATATTGTAAATGACTTAGTGTACATACTTACCAACCTTTCCATTATATTTTATAAAAATAGCATATTATATGTGTACTTCTGTAGCTTGCTTTTTTTTCCTTTTTTTCCTTTTTGGTATGTCAGGATCTGTCCCTGTAACTAAATACTCACCCATAACATTATCTTTAATATATTAAAAGCATTCCATTGTATAAATATAGTATAGATTTAAAAAATTCAATCATTAAACCTATTTTACAGAAAAGGTGAGTCTTAGAGAGATGAAGTCAAACCATTGGGCAAGATCTATGAACTAAAAGCCTTAGCCTTCTGACTGCTAATGGAATATTCTATCCACAGTTTCTAAAAAAGGACTGAAACACATCCAAACTTTCTGACAAAAGCAACCAGTAGACTGAATGAAGTCTGATACACACCTAACCACATCCGAATGATGCTCATGTAGTCTTTGTTCTTGGCGGAGAGAAGTTTGTCATAGGAGGGGCAGCCTGCCAAAAGGATACGATCGTGGTCCTCACACATGGATATCAGGTGTTGCTCTGCACTTCGGGTGCAGCACACATGATAATGAGCCAGTTTCGTTATGGCGTGTCTGATAGAGTCATCGATGGTCCCACTGACTTCCCCACCTTCGATGTGAAGGATTCGGATGTTCATCAAGGCAGCAGAGGTAGCCAGAGCCAGGGCATCAAATCTGTCTCCGTGAACTATCATGATATCAGGCTTTAGGCGATTAAGGACATCTGGTAGCTTCACAAGGGCGAGGCCTACTGACTCCACCATGGCTGCCTCATCTTCCCCTCTAACAATCGTGTGTAGCCGGGTGTTAATGTCAAAGTCATCTTGTTCAATCATGCGATATGTGTTTCTGGAGCAGGAGAGAAATGAAAATGTGAGAGCATGTTCTTAAGTACAGGGCTATAAAAACACAGGAGAAAAGAACCTAACATTAGCCTGGAAGGAAGAAATACGTTACAAAATTACCTTGCTAAAATAAGTAAACTTAAGTATAACTTACAAAAATTAAAAGCACAGACCATAAATATACAGATGGCTTAATTTTTCTACACAAATGCCCCTGTTGCCACCACCCAAATCAACACATCCCGCACCTGGAAGGTCTCACTGTGCCTCCCTGGAGGGAGAAACAGCAGAGAAAGATGTTTCTATTAGGAAAAAAAGAGACCAAATTTTACAATAGTCATGACTTTTGCTTTTTAAAATATATATATAAACTTGTAAAAAGGAATATGCTGCTTAATAGGAAAAAAAAAAAGTAAAGCTCATACAAAAAATACTACAAAACCAGGATCCCTGACAGATCACTACAATATAAATTTCTGAATGATGGAAATTATCTCCTGAATTCTCTTTGTATGGCACCATTAATGCAGCATAATTCTGACCGGGGTGAAAATGTAGGTTTTATAGCATTAAATTGGCTGTGAAATGCAGTCTCGGGTCTGTTTCATGCTTCAATAACAGCAGCAATTTTCAATGTCTTAAAGTCTCCTGTCTGACTAAATTTTAAAAGATATGACTTTTTTCTGAATATATAATATTTTGTTAAAATTGGAAAATACAGAAGATTATCATGCATAAACCTACCATTCAGCAATACCAGTATTACCATTTTGATTTCTTTCTAGCCATTTTATGCATAAGAATTTAACATGGTTGAGAACACAGCACAGTATAATTCTGTAATCTACTTAATCCACTTAACACTAAACTTTCTCAGATCATGAAGCATCCTTTACGTAGGGCACCTATACTGCCCTAGGAGTCATTTTATAGATTTCTCTGGGTTTCCCTACAAAGGCTATGATATTGTCTGTAAATAAAGACAATCTTTGTGCCTTTATTTATGTTTCTTGCTTCAGTACACTGGCTGTTACATCCAGTACATGCAGAAGTGATGAAAGTGGGTATCCTTACCTTGTTCCCAATCTTCGGAGGAAAGCGTAGATTTTATATTAGCTATAGGTTTTTCACAGCTGGCCTTTATCAGACTGAAGAATTTCCTTTCTATTCCAAGTTTGCTAAAAGTTCTTACACCATAACTAGCTGTTGAATCTTGTCAAATGCTTTTTTAAACATCTGTTGAAATGGTTGTATTGATTTTCTCTTTTATACTGTTACTCTGTGAATCACACTGATTTTCAAATGTAAAATCAACCTTGAATTCCTGAGATAAACCCACTTGGTCATGATGTATTATTTCTTTTATTTATATTGCTGGCTATGACTTGCTAATTTTTTTTGTTTAAATTTTTTATGTCTATATTCATGAGGGATACTGATTTGAATTTTCTTTTCCTATAATGTCTTTGTCAGGTTTTGGTATCAGGATTATGCTGACTTTATAATCTGGGAAGTCCCCTGGCTCCTCTATTTTCTGAAGAGTTTGTGTAAGATTGGTGTTACTTCTTCCTTAAATGTTTGATAGAATTCAAAAGTGAGGCCATCTTTGTAGGAAAGTATTTTTATAGGAAGTATTTGATAATGAATCCAATTTCTTTAACAGATGCAGTGCTATTGAGATTTTCTATTTTTTCTGTCAGTTTTGGTACACATTGTTCAAGGAGTTTGTTCATCTAAATTGACTGTCAAGTTTATTGGCCTAATATCCCCCTTTTATTCTTTTAATGGCTGTTAAGATCTGTAGTTGTATCCTCCTTGTCATCTTGGATTGGTAATTTCTGTTCCTTTTCTTGTGCTTTGTAGGATTTTGTCAATTTTATTAATAATTTCAAAGAAATAACTTTGGGCTCTTAATTTTCTCTGTTGTTTAATCTGCTTTTATATTTCACTGGTTTCCACTCTGGTTTCTACCTTCTACTTACTTTGGGTTAATTTTCTCTTTTTCCTGTTTATTTAAGTGGAAATGGATCTTTTTCTTTTTTAATGTATTTAAAGCTATAAATTTCCCTATAACCACTGCTTTATCTACACCCACAAGTTTTAATATATTGTAATATTTATTATTCAGTTCAAACTATTTTCTAATTTCTTGTTTGACCCATGAGCTTAAAACTCAGTAAACAACCCAATTAAAAAATGAACTAGAGACCTTAATGTACATCCCACCAAAGATGATATAAGGATGGCAAATAAGCATATGAAAAGATGCTTCACATCATATGTCATCAACAAATGCAAATTAAAGTGAGATACCACTACACATCAACTAAAATGGCCAAAAGCCAAGAACACTGACAACACTAAATGCTGGTGAGGATGTGGAGCAACAGGAACTCTCATTCACTGCTGGGGGAATACAGAATGATACAGCCACTTTGGAAGACAGTTTGGCAGTTTCTTGCAAAATTAAACATGCTCCTACCATACAATCTAGCAATCATGTCCCTTGACTTATCCAAATGAGCTCAAAACTTATGTCACACAAAAATATACAAAATGGATATTTACAGCAGCTTTATTCACAACTGCTGAAATTTGAAGCAGCCAAAATATCCTTCAGTTAAGGATAATGAATAAGTAAACTATCATACATCTATACAATGGTATATTATTCAGCCCGAAAAAGAAGTGCTATCAAGCTATGAAAATACATGCAGGAAACTTAAATACACATTACTAAGTGAAAGCAGCAAACTCTAAGAGGCTACATACGGTATGATTCCAACTATATGACATTCTGGAAAAGGCAAAAATCTACAGAAATGGTGAAAAGATCAGTAGTTGCCAGGGGACTGTGGGGTGGGGGGAGGAAGGGATGAAAGGTAGTGGAAAAGATTTGGGGGGCAGTGAATGACTCTGCATGATATAATGGTGGATACATGTCACTATACATTTGTCCAGACCCAGAAGACTTATACTACCAAGTTGAACCCTAATGTAAAGTATGGACCTTGGGTGGTAATGATGTGTCAGTGTAGGTTCATAAACTGTACCAAGTGTACCACTGAGGTATGGTAGGGGTTGCTGATAATGGGGGATGCTAAGCATGTATAGGGGCAGCAAGGTCTATGGGAAGCTTCTGTATCTTCTGCTCAATTTTGCTGTTAGACCTAAAAAATAGTCTTTTTTTAAAAGGCATTCTTTCTTTTACTCACCCATATATTTTACCATTTCTAGTCCTTCCTGTAGATTTAAGGTATCATGTCTCTTCAGTTTAAAGAATTTGCCTTAGCATTTTTTGTAGTGCATATCTGCTGGTAGTAATTTGCTTAGCTTTTCTCCGAAAATATCCTTACTTCAACTTTATTTTTAAAGGATTTTTCATTGGATAAAAAAATTCTAGGTTAACAGGGTTTTTCTCCCTAGCTTTAAGCACATTCAAGGTGTTCCATTGTCTTCCGGACTCTGCTGTCTCAGATAGTGAGTTGAATATCATTCATCATTGTTCCCCTGTAAGAAATGTCATTTTTATCTTGTTTCTTTCAAGATTTTCTCTTGTTTTCAGCAATTTGACTATGCTATGTCTATATGTAGTTTTCTTCGTATTTAACTATTGGGGGTTGTTGACCTTTCTGGATCTGTACACTGATTTTTTTTTTAAACAAATTTGGAAACTTCTGTCCATTACTTCTAAGATTTTTCTGCCTCATTTTTTCCCCTCCTCTCCTTCTGAGACACAAATTACATGTATATTAGATTGCTTCTAATATTGTCCCAGAGCCACCCCGGCTCTGTTCTTAATTTTAATTTTTTTCATTCTGTTCTTCACCTGGATAACTCCTATTGATCTGTCTTCAAGTTCACGGACCCTCTCTTCTCTGCAGCATCCACATCAAGTGAATTTACTGCATATACGGTACTTATAAGTTCTAGACTCATCTGGTCCTTTTTCATAGTTTCCACTTCTCTGTTGAGATAGCCGCTCATGGAGATGGTCCCTGTCTGCTAATTCCAACATCTGAGCCACCTCTGAGTCTGTGAGCTTGACTACTTTTTCTCTTGATATTGGGTCAAATTTTCCTGTTTCTTCACATATCTAGTAACTTGTGATTACATACTGACCACTGTGGATAAAACACTATAGAGACCCTGGATTCTGTTATCTTAAGTCCTTTGAGTTTTGATCGAGCAGGCAATTAAATAACTGTCTGAGCACTTTATGGAAGCTCAGGTTAACATTTTATTAGGGTGAATCTGTTTCAGCTTTGCTCTTAAAGAGCAAGTGGAATGTAGGTTTTACTCCTAAGGTATGGCCATTTGGGTTTCAACAAAAAGCCGGAGAGCATGTGACTAAGCCCCTCTAAAGTGGTAGGACTCATGCTCCAAACTGTTCCCCCTGAGGTGGTCAGCAGTTAACCTTCTCAGCTTCACCAGCCTCCAGCTGTTATTTTCTCCTAGGCTTCCTGGAGTACCCCCCACCACCCCCCATGCCTGTGCAGCTCGTGGTCAAACAAGAATTTGAGAAGAGTTTATATCCAGATTCTGGGGTGCTCTGAGGCTTCTCTGGGCTCCTTCACAATTTCTCCCCTCAATTTCCAGATACTGTACAGCCCAAGTTCCACTTCACCCTAAACAACCGTGGCTTTCTGCTTTAGTTCTCGCCAACTGACACCATGCAGACTGGGGAACACTGCCAGGAAAAGCCATTTAAACACAGATCTCACCTCTTTTTCTCGAGGATCAAATCCCCTCCAGTTTTTGCTACTGGTCACTCTCCAGTGCCTTTAACTTTTTAAAATATTGTGTCCAGAATTTATAAGGGTTAGCTGCAGGAGAGTTAGTCAGATACAAGCTGCTCTGTCATTACTAAAGCCTGGACTTCTTTTCCTTAAAAAGTATTTTATAACTTCTCGAGTTGAATATTTAGTTCAGTTACTCCTTATTTTCCCCCCTCATATAGAAAGTAAGTAAGACCACAAATTTACTTCTAACTAAAAGTTTTCCTTTATTATTTTATTTCCTTTTAAAATTATCTTTTATTTTTATTACTTATCTGCTTATCATTTGTCTCCCCCTCCAGCGTCTGAGTTCTATGAAAGCAGGGACTTTCTCTCTTATTTGCCACTTGATATATTCCAGATGCTTAATAAATATGTGCTGAATTTGCAGAGATTCTTTGCACATGTAGCCAAGCTGAATTACATAACTTTAATTATTAGAAAAAGTCGTGCTCAGCTTTGGCAGCACATATACTAAAATTAGAACGATGCAGAGAAGATTAGCATGACCCCTGTGCAAGGATGACACAAATTCGTGAAGTGGTCCATATTTTTCTATATATAGAATAGATAAACAAGGGCCTACTGTACACAGGGAATTATATTCAATATCTTGTAATAGCCTATAATGAAAAGAATATGAAAAGGAATATATGTATTTATGTATAATTGAATAATTATGCTATATACCAGAAATTAACACAACATTGTAAACCGACTATACTTCAATAAAAATTTAAACAACAACAACAACAAAAGTCCCTTCACAGTAATAACATTTCAAGAAGGCCAAAATGCTATTTTCAGGATATAAATTCTATCAGGAATTAACTTAGCTGAGCTTGAATTTTGGACTGCTTCATGTTTTACGTTAACTGATTAGTTTTGTATCCCAAGGCCACAAAATAATTTTACTCCCTGAATTCAAAGCCATACTTTTTCTTTTAATGGAGGGCAGAATGTGATTAAATATGCATTTTGGTTCTGAGCAATGACAGGTTAGCTGAAGGACTTGGATTTCTGGAGTTCTATCTGTGATGAACAGCTCATGCAACATCGCTTTAATTCTGAGACTGTCCCACCTACATAATGTTCATACCTGACCATGTGCATCTTTCAGGAACCAGAATCAGAATCCCCTTGAAATAGTATCTCAAAATATAAAACATTATGTCCCATAACACCAAATATACTTGAAGAATTTGCTGAAGCCTGAGTTAAACCAAAATACTGACTTCACTTCTAAATTCTGTATTAAACAAACAAGTTTTAAGTATTTGGTTTGAACTGCTGCCAAACTTGAACATTTTCAAAAACTATGGGACTGTAACAAAACTAGGCCATCAATATACTCTCTAAATGAAATAAAACAAATGCACTGGATCAAGTCTAAAGTCCTCAAACTGAACCTCTTCACAGCAGTAGGGTCCTCACAGTACCCATACCACAACCAACTTTCTCATTAATCTTTACTGACAGTACCATTCCCCCTTCAAATAACCTTGTCTCTAATTTGGAAGCATCATTCTTAGATGAAAATCAACTGAATGACCTACCAGTTTTTGTTTTCTGATTACCTCTTTTCTTTGTGCTGCCACATATTAAAAGTGTAAAGAAACATCACCAGCAGTTCTCAAACTTCACCTTCCCATCAGCAGAGGGAATCTGATCCTTCAGGGGTTTAAGTTTTCTCCTCAGCTTTCACATTGGTGATAACCCCTCTACCACTCAGACAGTTGTATAAAGAGTATCAAAACCATCTGATGTCTTGAGATACAAAAGTTATGCACAATTATGCTGAGATACTTACTCTGTTAGAGTCAACTAGACTTGAAAATTAATCTCTTCCAGGAAGACTGTCACCTCCATTATTAATCAGCATGTTTGACAGTCTTATTCTAAGACTGAATTTATTTTAACTTCTTATCTGGAGCTTCCTTTAGACATTAGGATATTAACCCCTCTGACTCCAAGACAGTCATTTTAACCCTCTCTATCTGAGCAACTGGTTGGTATGGGAACCAGTCTTCACAATGTAATGAGCACCAGTTGAGTATACAGTGCAGTGCACTCTATCTGTGTTAAATATTGTGTGTGTGTGTGAGAGAGAGCAAAAGGAGGTTACACACACAGACATACACACACAAAGACAGGACAGCAGATTTTTGGCATGCATGACTTTAAAATTCTCAAGCGCTCCTGAAGTGCCGAGTTATGTAGTCGTGAAGTGATGTGCATTTAGCTAAGTGTGAATTTGAATCTCATCTATTTGAGATTACTGTTAATAGGGGAGCAAGTCGCTTAGCTAGTAACACAACTGTCCAGTCCAAAATAACAGCACTGTTCTAATCATTTTTCCCACGTGTTTGTCAGAGGAATACCACAGAGCAGGGTCTCTCAATGTCGGCACCTTGGCATTTCAGGGCCAGAAAGAACTTTGTTGTGGGGGCTGACGTGTGCACTGGAGAATGTTTAGAAACATTCTTAGTCTCTCTTAAAAAATGTGTTGAATAACTAAATGACCAAATGAATTTTTAAGTAGTCTATGTTATTTATTTGATGTCCTTTTTTGCCCAATTCATAAGAGTATAAAAATACTGTTTTTTAAAAAAAAAAAACCCAAGTAACCGAAGTAAAAAAGTAGCTTATTTTTTCTGTTGGTTTAACATCTTCTTAAAATAAATACATTCATGTGGTTTAAAATTCAAGACACAAAAGGCTGTATGGTGAAAAGGCTACTTCTCATTTGTTTCCCCGTCATCCAGTTTCTTTCCCCAGAAGCAGCCAATTTCCTATGCTAGAATGCACTATAAACATCCATTTCCGTTAAGTACTAGTCAAGTTTCCTATTTAACAGTCTCACCTGACAAATACTACCTCTCCCCCTTAACTACTGCGGTAGGCAGATAAGAAAACCTACCACTATCTCCTTGAGAGCCTGTCTCAACCTCTTCTCATAGGAGTGAAAGCACCCACTTAGCCTTTCATCTCGGGATCTAGCTCAACTTTCTCTTCAACTTTGTCCTATCTTTGTCCAATAATGTAGGAAAACTCAAGTGGGTTTTGTTAGCCAGCATTCATTCACATTTTGAAAATCTATGACCTTTTGAGCAATCCATAAGTTCTTCTCTACTCTTTTAAGTATTTTCTTAGAGCAAATTGCTAAATCGGCTTTTGGAGGCAAGTTTTTGTTTGTTTTTGCCACTGTTATTATCTTAGTTTAAAAAAAAAGCCTAAAAAAGACAATTTTATTTTAACACAAGCTTCTTTCACATTTAACACTATATTTTTGATCATCTTTGGAGGCTGCATTAATGTTTTCATGCCACAAGGGTGCACTAAATGCCACTTTATTGCAACAGCAAAATGAATGTTCATCTTTCGTTTATACATTCTGCCTCTTCAAAGATTTCCCAACTTTCATTTTTCATATTTAGACTGTGATCGATAACAAACCTAAAGTCACCAAAATAAGTGTCAACGGTAGTGGTAATATAAATTTCTACTTTATCTTGTAGATCAATTAGATTTTTAAAATCTTGTTCCATATCTACTCCCTTATATGCAGTTTTAATGTAGAATTACCATTACAACTCACAAAACAGATTACCTAGAATCATACTATAGTCACACAATATGTATTTATAAATGGCATTTCTGAATGTAATAGCAAATAATAGTAAGAATAAAGATAGCTATAATTTATCAAGCATCTATTAAGCAGCATCACTATATAGACATAAACTTTATATCACTATGTCCATTCTTCACAATAATCTACAACACAAATTTTCAATCCATTTTATAACTGGGGAACCTGAGGCTCAGAGATGCTAAGCAACTTCTCCAAGGCCACATGAAAACTAAGTGACAGAACTGGGATTTGAAGCTGGGTCCACACAGCTCCAAGATCCACGTTCTCTCCAGTACACCATGTTGCAATGAAGAATATTATAAGAAAATGCTTTCATCTTACCCATAGTCATCTATCAGGTGAGAGCCAAGTACCACCACATCAAGTTCAAAGAACTCAGGTTCCATTTTAATGCCAAACATGATCGGGGCAAGTTTAGAATAATCAGCACGGTTGCAAGTAGCAACACAAACCCGAAGCTTTCGGTTATTCTCTTTCTTCTCCATGATTTGCTTTTTCTTTTTTGTGAGGTTCTTAAAATAGAGTTCCTGAAGTTGCAAAAATAAAAATTATTTATAATCTGAACGATAGGTCCTAGATATAAAATGTTGCAGTTGTTAAGTTCTTAATCACCGTTTAGTATAGTGATTCTTAACCTTTAGTCCCACCCCAACGTCTGTGTGACACACCCACTGGTATATCAAGTTATGAAATTCCAGCATACCAACTATAACTCCACCCCTTTCTCTTACACTTAAGAAAACATACTGGAATGCAGTTAATAACATAAATCAACCCTCATATAAAAGGTCAGCAAACATCAACTGTTTACTATTAAGAATTACTTGCCATTCCTCACAACTGATCCCAATATACCAGACAAGAGCAAAACTTTAGCTGAAAACTACTGATCTAGTTCAACTCCCTCATTTACAGAAAGAGAAACAAGTCTTGAGAAAGGAAATTCCTTCCTCAAGATTTAAGACCACACCTTAAAAGGAATGAGAGCTGTTCACCCTCACATTATACACCATATACAAAGCACTATGATTTGTGCTGAGGAAGAGAGGGATGAATAAGATAAAACAAAAATACCTCCTTAGCACCATAGCCAGTGCCTACAAACTTGACAACTCCAAATGCCTACCAGCTGTCTCCTATCCCACAGGCACCTTAAAGTCACTGTTCCAAACCAAACTCATTTTTTTACAAACCTGTTCCTCCTTCCTTGTTTTCTGACTCAGTTATGAACTTCGTTTATCCAAATGCCTTTATATCCTTGTTTTCTCAGTTCCTCACCCTGTACCTCCTAAGCCCCGTCAATTCAACCTCCTGAAAGAGTATCTTTCAAATCTATCTCTTCTCCATCCCCACCCACCAGGACATCCCCTAGTCCAATCCCTCATCTTAGGTCTGAACTATTCTCACACTTGTCAAAGTGGTTTGCCTGTCTCTAGTCTTGCCCTGCCTCCCACAAACTTTCAGAGTGATCTTGCCAAAGTTCATAAATCTGATTACATTGCTAGACAGGATATACCACCTGTGGACAAATTCCAAATTGCTGGTCTGGACCTAGTCCATCCTTCCAGCCATTTCTCCCTTACTTACAATCACCCTTACTCTGTGCCAAAGCCACACCCAAGTGCGTGTAGTTCAACTGGTGGGTCTCCACGTCTCCGTGCCTTTCTAGAAGCAAGTACCTCCACCTAAAACTTCCCTTCCCTCTTGCCTGGACTCTTCCTCAGCCTTTAAAACTCAGTCTAAGGGCCCCATCTTCTGGAAAGCTTTCACATAAACCTCAGTTCCTCTTCACCCCACCTCTCTTAGAGGCAGCCTCCCTCGGAGCACTGTGGCCCTGCCCACCACACATAAACTATTGCTCAACTCCTCTGCCCACCCATCCCCCCAGAATTCCATACCCTTCAGTCAAAAAGTAAAAACCAGGGGCAAGGGATAAGAGCTCTGTTTCAGGGAGCTTTTTAAACTTGCTTATATTGATGTAAATTACTTCATGGACTGACCTCAATGCATATGTCTCAGGAAGTGTATCACTATTCAGAATTTGCAATCAGGAATCCAGAGAAGCTTGAGAAGGATGTCAATAAAAAGGGAGCTGCCTTTTAAATCGGAGTAGACTCTGGACAGTGGAAATCCCACCTCTGCTGTTGATGCCTCATCTCTCTTAGGCTAGAACTGTAATCACACAAACTGCCCATCATTAAGCCCATTCATGTCAATTAATAATCTCCAGTAAAAGCTACTTCCACCCAGCAGAAGGCATTAAGAAGATAATGAAGTAAGCATTCTGTCAAGAGAGTTGTATTTGTAAGATCTAAGCACTACCCAATCATCAAAGGGACAAAAATATTTTTCCAAAAATGGCTGTTTTAAGTGTCCCTGTACATAAACCTTCTTCCATGCATCATTAAATTTGGGCTGTATAAATTGTTAGTGATATTTAATTTGCTGAGTGAGGCAAAGCAAATCATTCATGATTGGTAAATGTGTATTTATTTTAAAAGAACAGCAAACTTTTCATCTGGCAATTCTAAAATGCTTAGTATTTACCAGGTAACTCAAAGGTTATTCTACTAAAACCGAAAGTAAGGTAGCCATATTAACAAACTATGAAAAACACGTTACTAGGGCCAAAACTTTAAGGAAAAAAAAAGTTAAATCTGAAAAAGGAAATAATGGAAAAATGCCTTTTTAAGGGGGGAATTCTTTTTCAAAAATAATTTTAATTGACTTATTTTTTTGATTAGGTAGTACATTCACATGATTTAAAATTGACAAGTCACAAGAGGCTATATAGCAAACAGTCTTCTCATCTGTGTTCCCAGATATGTAGTTCTCCCTGGATGCTTAGAGTTACTATTTTCTTATCTGTCCTTCTGCTATGCATTTATAAATAAATACACATATATTTTACGTATATAAATACATACGTATTTTATAAATACACAGTGTGTATCATGCAATTAGTATTATATTCTACAAACTTATTGCTTACCTTGCTTTTTAAACTGTTCCTAATTAAGTTTCTGAATTAAGTGATAAAATGGGAAAGTTTAAAGTCTGATTAGAAATATCAAACCTAAAAGTGCAATTTTGAAAATTACTGGCCATCAACTTTTCAAATATATATAGGGCTATAAGAGCCCTGAAAGTAAAAATGACCAATGTCACAAAGAGTTATTGAGAACCGACTCTGCGCAGAGGACTGTAAAGTACACTGAGAGATGTGGAGCTGAGAAAGACCTCACCTCTGATTTTTAGGAACTTATAGTCTAGTCATGACATCAGGCCACAGAATAGATCTTAACTTCACTTGCCCAAACAGAAGCACCAGGAAGAAAATTAATACATTTTCTTTCTCTGCCCCATATGCATTATTTTTCTGTTCTGAATGTCAAGCCCAAAGATCCATTTTTATACTGAGATCTGTGATCAGAGTCTTCATGACAAGTATAGAATGAATAAATGTGCCAAAATGGACTTAAACTATAATAGGAGGATTTAAGTTGCATAAAGTGCAATGCGAAACAAGATAAAACTAGTTTCTTTAGAGTGGAATCCTAGACAGCAATGAAAACAAATGGACTGTGTCTACACATGTCAATATTGATAAATCTCAAACATATAATGTCAGAGGAAAACAGAAAATTCTAAAAAGTTAAATACAATAGGTCACCATTTAAAAAATGTATATAAAACTTAAAATGGAAAAGAACCTGAAAACATTTGTGAGTATATATATGCACGTATATGTATAACTGAATCACTTTGCTGTACACTTGAAACTAACATTTAAAATCAACTACACTTCAATAAAAAATAAAATTTAAAAATATGTAAAACATTACTGTATGTTGTTTATTAAGCTATAGTAAAATTACACACCAACTCAGGAAAGTAGTTACTTCTGAAGAAGAGAAGGGAAAGGAAACGGGGGCTTAAAGGATTTTCACTGTCCATGTAAAAATTTATTTTTAATTGTAAGTAGAGGTCTGAAACAAACATGGTAACACGTTAACGCATGTTAAATCTTGATGACTGGTAGAAGATGTGATATTGTCTCTTTTCAACATATTTGAAACACCATACCTAAAACAGGGAATCTTTTACACAGACACTGAGGATGCAATGTCCACAGTCCTTAAAGCCTAAAGCTCAGAAAGCAGGTCGGATTGGATATTTGCATCCATTTCATTCAATTCTGTAATAGTAACAAGTGCCACCAAAACACAGATGCCAGAAAATAGGCCTTCACCTTGAACTCACTGGTACTCTCTGAGAAACCTGCATTCTCTCAAGACTGACTATTATAAACAGACAAAAAGTGACCTTTTCCAGAAAAATAAAGACTGTTGTCCCATCCAACAATGGAAAAAGACAGATGAACACTTGGCTCAAGCAGTCTCGGGGCAGAGGAAACCATCACAGTCAACATCTGCCAAGCACATGTGAGCTTTACAAGCATCAACACAATTCATCCTCACAGCCCCATCTCATTAGCCTCATTTGACAGATGGGCATACTGAGGTACAGCAAAAACCAATCTACTTGCCCCAAATCACAGATAATTGCCAGAACCAAACACCAAATCTGCATTCAGATAGTGCCCACGTCCAGTGTTTGCCTGTGTCTGTGATTTCATAAACACCCATAAGGGAGAATCTTCCCTACGCCTGGTCCTGCTAGGCATCGCTTTTCCCTCAGTGCAGAGGGGATGAGACTCACAGAAATAAGGAGGAGGCTATAAAAAGTGGTCTGAAATTCAGAACCCTATCCTGAACTAGACTCCAGTGTGACTTCTTCCAGAGCTTCTATAGTGGGTTAAACAGTTATCTCTAAATGCTAGAGCTGTACCCAATCCCTCTTCTCCGTCAGTATTCCAAACTAATACTTTTTCGTGCTCTCACAATTTTACAAGTGTGCTCAAGATTGGGGGTGCGGGGTAGGAAGGGAAATAAACACATTAAACTTCCAAGGAAGCCCAGACCCCGAGTATAGGTTTCACTGCAGACACTCAAGATTATCTTTCAGTCCGATCCCTGATACCGGAGGGCCACTTATCTGCCCCGCAGCTCTCCGCCCTCTCCTGCACACCCCCGCGACGGGACGCTATCTTTCAGGACAGCCGGTGGGGATGGAGTACAGCCGGGCTTCGCTCTAATACCCTGCGCTTCAACTTCCCGGTCATTTTCCCGGGGTCTGCACGCAACCTGCCCGCAACCTGCGTCTAAAGCGGGACCCGTCACCAGGCTAAAGAGGGGCTCTGACGTGTAGGCCCGGGAGAGACAGCGAGGCCCGGGCCGGGTGCGGTACGGAGCCGCCGGCCGTGGAGCTGAGGCCTCTGGGCGAGGGCCGGAGGAAGCCCCGGGGGCCAGAAAGCTGCACTCCTCAAGCTCGCCTTCCCCCTTCCCCGCCTCCCGAGTCCCCAGCAGGCGCGCGGCTCTCACCAGAAACCGATACGCGGCTCCTCCGCACCGCCGCCACCGCCTGGCCCCGCGGGAAAAAGCCGAGCGCCACGCCGGAAAGCAGG